GCCTCCCTCACTAACCAGAGCTCCGACTCTGCGGCGGCCGCCCTTAACAAGGGCTACGGCCCGCAGCGGGCTTCCACGCCGGGACTGGCTCTGTTCCCGGGCCTGCCCTCGCCGGCAGCCAACGCGGCTTCCACGCCCCCGGCTCTGCCTGCGCCCGCCGCCGCTGCCTCCTCGGGGCCCGCCGGCTGCGGCTCCTCGGCCACCCTGCTGCACGGCCCACTCGCGAGTCACGCAGACGCGCCCGGTTCGTCGACGCCCGCCGCCACCAGCCTGCCCGTAGTGATCAAGACCGAGCCCGCGAGCCCCACTCCTTCTGCCTTCAGGGGCCCGGCGCCCCCGCCGCCCCCCACCCCCGCTCCGGGCGCACTGGGCCTGCCGGGGGCGCTGGGGCGGGTGTACACGGCAGCCTCGGTGCCGGTCAGTTTACCGTCCTGCCTCGCCCCTGCGCTGCCGGGCCTCCCGGGCCTGAGCGCGACCCCGAGCGGCTCGAGCCCTCTGCCCTCCCTCCCGCTGCCTGCGCACGGCTCCGCCGCGCCCATCGCCCCCGTCTTCAGCGCCTTGCCCCCTTTCACTTCGCTGAGCAGCGGCTTCGCCCAGGCTGCCCACCCGTCCCTCGGCGCCCCCGCCTCGTCCGCACCCACCTGCGCCCCCGGCCCCTCGGCGCCCGCCTCGGCGGCGGCCTTCCCACTCAGCCTGCCCACTGCCGTGCCCTCGCTCTTCTCCGTGGCGCAGGGACCTCTTCCGGCCTCGGCTCCCTCCTACCCCGGCTTCTCCGTCTCCGGTGCGGCCCCCGCGCTGCCCTCGTTCCCGGGGCTGCAGCCGCCCGCCACTGGCGCCGCCACCGCCCCGTCGCCTGCTCCCGTCCTCCCCGGGTTCGCCTCCGCCTTTAGTTCCAGTTTCAACTCCGCTCTGGTTGCGCAAGCCGGGTAGGTGGATGGTCTGGAGGGGAAAGCATCCTTCACCTAACTCGTTCATGCTCTTGTTTTGAAGTCGTTCAGATGAAAATCGGCATCCAGTTGTTTGGTGGCGTGAAATTGTTTTTCTGGGTCGGCATTTAGGTGCTCGAAAAATGTTTTATGTTAAGATAAATACATAAAATAACAATGCCTGCTCAGATAATTTTTGGATTTGTATTTGGTAATTTATCTTGATTTTAAAACGGCAAACAAACTCACTGAATTGAGAATAATACACTTTATAATGGAAAGCTTTATATCAGTGAGTGGCTGACTTTTATGGTTCCAACAGGGAATAGATTTTTTTTTTTTAACATCTTAAGATAGTATTTGACAAATATAGAAGCACTAGCTTTTATGTCTTATCTGCACTTTTTCTAAAATTTATTTATTTGACTGTATTGGGTCTTTGTTGCTACACTCGGGCTTTCTCTAATTCTGACGAGCGGGGGCCGCTCTTCCCTGCGGT